TATTTTTACTCCATAACAAATATACGTGTTTATAAGGGACCTTATCTTTACCCTTTGTAACCTATTCGGTTCCAAGTTTAACAACAAAATTAAAAGATTTTGATAGTCCACCTTGAGGGTGGTCGGAACTAGAGGGCAACGGGTGCTACAACGACTTGAGCGACTTCTAGGGGTAGTTCTGTAACTCCTGCAGTCGGGCTACAGGCGAAGGAGGACGACGGTCAAAAGAACTATGCAAAGGGCTTTACAAAAAAAAAAGACATTAAGAAATAGTGCAGCAGAAACACATTATAAAATGACATTTAAAAACAGTATTAAACATAAATTCTTTAAGACTCCCAGGATCGAGGGCTTTCAACCTATTTTCCATTCACAGAATCAGGATTCTAACCCTATAGAAATATTGGTACTACTTTACAATAAGACTACCCTTATGAAGGATTCATAAAGGGCTTATAATTAGGTTATGAATTAGGTTGTAAACACTTCATTAATCATTAAGAACCATTTATAAATCAGTTCTAACATAGTTTTCATACATCAACACAGGCTCACTATTTGGCAAGATGACAAAGCTTTATATTGGCTACCTACAGTAGCTTATTTCGTCTTCTTCATCAGCCAGCATCCTTGGTATCTGTTGTTCACTGAGTTGATTCTCCCCCCTTTCCATCTGGATGTTTTTTGGCATCTCTTATGACCATTTATTTACGAGTTACTAACATTTATAACTGCCAAAAGGGAGCCTTATTGTAAAGTGTAAAACACATTCCCATTTATTAATGAGTTACTACCATTTCTAATAAAGCTTAGCAGTACAGATAAATGTGGGCTCACTATTTGGCAAGCAACCGGTCACAGTTGCCCTGTTTATCTCATGTCTTATCAAGTGTTCACAACCTAATTAATAAATGAATTTTACAAACTATTTGTCAACCCTTTATAAGGGTAGTCTTATTGTAAAGTGGTACCAAAATATTTCTATTAACATCCAAAAATGCTCATACACTGAAGCCAACCCTTAATAGAGTGTTGTTTTTGTTGTTTTCTTAATTCCTGTTTTTCCTTACTGGTGAACATTTTTGAAAGAGAAAATAATGAAATGTTTTCTCCGATCCTCAGCCGGTGGAGATTAGCGGTGCGATCGAGGAGGAGTTCACGGTGGCTCGCCTCTACATCAGCAAGATCAAGTCGGAGGTGAAGAGCATGGTGAAGCGCTGCCGCCAGCTGGAGAACATGCAGCTGGAGTGCCACCGCAAGATGGAGGAGACCGGGAGGGAGCTCTCCTCCTGCCAGCTCCTCATCTCTCAGGTGAGCCATGGAGAGGAGAAGGAGTTTATGAAAGGCCGATTGAAGTAATCATGTATTGCATTATGTCATGGTTTTATAATCTTTTATAACTGTATCTGTGTTTATATTTGTCCAGCATGAGGCTAAGATCCGCTCTCTGACGGAGTACATGCAGAGCGTGGAGCAGAAGAAGAGGCTGCTGGAGGAGAGCCACGACTCCCTGAGCGAGGAGCTGGCCAAGCTGCAAGACCAGGGTAACATGTGTACACTTACGCAGAAATGTTGTACTGAAATACAGAATAGGTTATCCTCTTGTTTACATTTCTTAGTGACTTCCCTGGAAGTGTTAATGGGTTGTTGCTCTGTGGTGAAGGCTTTCTTTCTACTTGTGTTCTACTAGATAACTCCATGCTTGAGGAAAAGGAAGCAGAGAAGGGTGAGATTGAGGATGGAAATGTGAAGGTAAGAAATCTCTACTTCCAGCCTTAAAGCTAATTGATGAAAAGAAAAGAGAAATTCCTACACGACCTGTCACACCAGAGTTTCCCTGTATGATGCTACATGATCTGACCCCTCATATTGTCTTTGTTGCACGATGGCCTCGTCAAACCAATGTGCTCCAAAGAATACGTTCAAACAGATTATATTTACTTAATTTTCTAGTTCCTCCTGCTGAAGTCAGTATCTGTAATGTGTTTGCTCTTCACTTTCCAGAAGGTTCCTCGTCAGCAGAGCGAGTCTCACCGCGGCGTCCACCACAAGCAGCTGGCCCGCCTGCGGGATGAGATCAACGAGAAGCAGAGGATCATCGACGAGCTCACCGAGTCAGTGACCACCTCAGATATTTATATTTACACATGGATACATATGTGACAATCGCTTATTACTAATCGTTATATATGCTACTATTATTATTCGCTACATATCATAAATCTTTCTATTCTGCATGCATACAATTATACAAACTAATAATCAGGTTTTGCTGTTGTTTCACACCTCCAGCCGCAACTCCAAGCTGGAGCTGGAGCTGGCTCAGGTTCGCGCTGACTTTGAACGCCTCAAGTGTCAGGACAACACCAAGAGCGAGCGCCTGGAGGAGCTCTCGTAAGTGTCGGGGACTTTCTCACACTTTTCAATTTCTTTTTTAACACTTTTATCATTGAAACTTCAAGAAATATAACCATAGGAATAAACATACAATATATAACTATATCAAAATACACAAGACAATGAAAACATGATGCATAATAAGAATACAATAAGAAATTAAATAGATGGAAAACAATACATTTAATTATAATAAAGTTAATTAAGTACATTTTGTTAACGTTTTTTAGAGTAAACACCAATATCCGACTTCATCCGAACATACAGTCAACATAAAGAACATTTTCTCACACTTGACATCCCAGTGTGCTTGAAACAGAGTATGGAGATCGTTATGTGTGATGAGTCAGCACATGGTGGACGTTTCTGTTCATTATTATTTAAAAGAAAAACAGTCCACTCTCCCTTCTCTCAGAATCCACCAGAGGGCGCTCAAGACAACAAAAATATATTGAAATATACTGAAGGAGTTTTTGTCCTATTTGTAATATTTATTTTACTGTCTCTGTCAGATTCCTGCATGAGCGTCATGAGCAGACCAAACAGGACTTAAAAGGTCTGGAGGAGACCGTCGTGAGTAAAATTGACATCACTATCTGTCAGAGACATTGTCCCTCGTTGTGTCTCTGTCTTATTTGCATACTGTTTGCTTACATCAAGAGCTGTCATACTAACATCCTGTTCATCTGTCCTCCAGGCCCGCGAGCTCCAGACCCTCCACAACCTCCGAAAGCTGTTTGTTCAAGACCTCACGTCGAGGGTTAAAAGAGTAAGAAGCTGAAGGCTCGCAAGAGAGGACAGTGACTCAAGAAATGTTGTTTTCATGTCTAGGAATCTGTGACCTGAATACTGACTGATATACCTCAGGATGAATAACAGCAATATCCTTTATTTCCCTTAACATTTGATGAATAGCTGTTGTTGATTGGGCTTTAAATGGGTTGTTTGGTACATTTGACTGTCACATGATTCAAGCAGATAATGCCCCTGGATAACAGAAACCCTCTTTCCCCCACCTTGGTTTCTTTATATTTGCTCATCTTCGTGCTTCGTCTTCCTCTCTGCAGAGTTCCGAAATGGAGCCTGATGATAGTGGGGGGTCTTGCACCCAGAAGCAGAAGATTTCCTTTCTTGAAAATAACCTGGACCAACTTACAAAGGTTCACAAACAGGTAAGAAACACAAAGAGAGGATGAGAGGGGTTTTACTGGTGCAAACACAACCGGCAGTCTGCATTATATTAGACTGGGAGAGAGTAATCCTGTTATTTTCAATTCAAGAGAAACATCCATTTTGGGGATGTTTTCACAACAATCTGCACACCAAGGATCCCTCAAAACGATGTATCGCTGTTTTCAAGATACTTTGTAAAGTACGATAAGTTACATACTGTATGTAAAACAAACAAATCATGTGTGATGTAAGAAAAGTGTGCTCTCTGATCTCACTTGTTGCTTTACAGAGTTGACTAATCTGTCAATTGCATCATATTGCTGTAATTGCATGGCTTCTTGTGTGTTTGTACTTACATTCATTTTAAGTAAGAATTCAATTTCAGTCCCTAAACGTGTAAGTGTCATACTTAGCTACACCCTTTCACTCCTTGCACTTCCTCTGGTTTTTCATTTGATAGTTTATGATTTCTATCCAATATTCCGCCCTGTGTCACGTCTCTCTCTTCCTCCAGCTGGTACGTGACAATGCAGATCTGCGCTGTGAGCTTCCAAAGCTGGAGAAACGTCTTCGGTCTACTGCTGAGAGAGTTAAGGCCCTGGAGACTGCACTGAGGGACGCCAAGGAGGGCGCCATGATGGACCGCCGCCGCTACCAGCAGGAGGTCGACCGCATCAAGGACGCCATGAGGGCCAAGAGCGCTCAGAGGCGCCCCCATGCAGCACAGATCGGTACTTCATAAAGTCTGTTTGTTATATGCATTTGAACAGAGTTGGTAAAAGTACACACATTCTTTACTCAAGTAGAAGTACAGATACTCATGTTTAAAAATACTCTGGTAAAAGTAGAAGTACTGACTAAACTTCTTCACTCAAGTAAAAGTAAAGAAGTATGGGCTTCGAAATGTACTTAAGTAAAAAGTACCCGTAACTACCAACTGTTTTAAAAAGTAACTGACCTCCCTTTATATGATATAGAACAATAATGTCATTGTTAGCTAATGAATGTTTCCATGCTGAACAACGGCAAAATGACAAAGTTTTCATTGGTCCCTCTTCTTTAGAGAAGATCAGGAAATGAAGGATACACGGATCGTGTTCAAATCAATAGGCACGCAATGACTCTAAATAATAATGATCAGGCCACCAAACACACATTAAAACTAAAGTAACCAGCCTGTTTAGAAAATATAAGAAGTCAAAGTAAAAAGTCGTCAGAAAAATAAGTAGTGGAGTAAAGTACTGATACCAGAAAATGTACTTAAGTACAGTAACGATTTGTACTCCACTACTTCCCACCTCTGCATTTGAAATGTATGGTCTTCAGTATCACATCTCCGTAGAAGTAGTATCTTACTTGACATGACTTCCTCCTCCCAACAGCCAAGCCAGTGAGGCCGAAGCAGCTGCCCGTCTGCTCTCCCACCAACCCCTTCTACACTTACATCCGGGCCAATGAGCACGCCAACACCTACAGCAACGCTCTCTTCCAGGGCAACGTGACACAGCCGAGCACCGCCAGCGTCGACTGCAACCCCAACTCTGTCCAGAGCAACACGTGAGTTCAAGTCCTTCCTTCAGACCTTCCCAAACTACTGAGAGCATTCATCCATGCATGCTAATTTATATGATATTATTATAACCTACAGCTGGCTGGCTTTTCTCTTTGATTTTAAGTGTTGTTTATCAATCTGTTCCTTTTTACTCCATCTACCTTCTTGATATTTTTGAAATACTGAATCAGACAAGTGTCTCTCTCTAACCCCACATGCTGCTCTCGTTATTGACCATGATGGTTTTCTGTTTCCTCTGGGATGTTTTCCACAGAGTTTCCACAGCGCTGGGCTACAGAGCAGGGAAATACAATGGAGACACACTGGAGTCCTTCCCACTCAACATCGACAATGGTAAGTACAAGAGCATACATGTTTACCTGTTTCCAAATGAATGTGAACATGCAGTCTGTATATGGGAGTGACACAGATTTGGCTTAAATTAAAACATTTGTCACAAATCTTATCACATTTATGTAATGCAATAACACATACAAGATATTTTTTATCAGGAGTTTGACATTCTTTGTTCACTTGCTGTTATATTATAGGATATATTAATGAATCGACAAATGTTACTTAGTTGTTATTCCAACAGGTAACACCAACAGTGAAACGAGAGACATCAATGACAACAGGTAAGGAACTCAGTTTCAGTAAATTCACTTTCAACAAAAACACGGAGCTGTGTGTTGTTTCTGCTCTATTTTATTAAATTAAGAGAATGTTTAATTATCATTCAATTTAAACACTAATGATTAAATGCAGCGTCCGGTGCGATTATGCTTTCGGTATAGTTAGTTGTGTACTAAGCGTTGTGTTTGTATATTTTCATGACAGAAGTGATGTTCACTGTGGCAGCGAGGTGGATGAATCAAACAGACACTTTATCATTCAGCAGGAGACCGCTGCAAGTTAATACCATGGTGATTAGCAACACACACACACACACACACACACACACACACACACACACACACACACACACACACACACACACACACACACACACACACACACACACACACACAGACCATACTTCATTATGTCATTTAACTTGTTTCTGTTTTTATTGTCTCTTTTCTTTCCAGATGTTGACCAAACACTGTACCTATAAAGGACCCTCCCTTTACATCTGCATGCAGCCTGTCTCCCCGTCCCTCTACTGCATAACTGATGAAGATGATGATGAAGATCTTTAACCCTGTAGTCTTCAAACTAGATGAAGCCCCTCCCATGGTGACCACGCTCACCCTCAGGTTTGCAGTTCAGTCCTCTCCAGTTCACTCAGTGCAGGAAGTAAATCAAATCAGAATTTCTTTTTGAATACATGACATTCAATCAACTCATCCGACTAGATGCCAATCCTTTTCTGAGGCGATATCAGCGATGCGTGTTACCTCCTGAGGTGGTTGAACTGAAACAGGGCTGACTCCATCCCTGATGCACACATGTTGTAAATAATAGTGCTGTATACTCCAGTAGAGGTTTTTGACCAGCAACTGTCTGTGTGAATGCACAGCCTCCACCTTCCCCTGCACACACCTCCTTAAGGGCATCATGCGGATGACATACTGTAGGCAGACGTGACCTTTTTCTCCGTCGTAAATAAGAGTATAGTGTGTAACGCCAGCTTGTAACAGAAGACCCTCTCTCTGCATGCATGTCGCTTAGCGGGTTGGCTTTCAAAATCTTTGCATGTGTCCTGATCCCAGTCAGGAGCCGGTATGCTGCGAGTGTCTGATCGACTTTGACAGATGTCACAGAAAGAGAGGAAAAGAGAGTGCTGGTATCCCTTAATCCTGATCATGGTCTGTTTAGATTTTTCTATTTAGTGTGAAAATAATAACAAAATACACATCTATGTCTAGTTTAAGTTTTAAAAAAGAGGGCATCAGGTGCAACATGCATCAGGGAAGCCCAGTCCTGATTTACAGTCTTACTTTTCTTTTGTGATGTTGCAGCTGTTTGTCGCTGTTATACATTTCAGGTAACGCTGCCCACATCTATTTACCGTGGATCCCTTCTCCACTCCATGTGAGTCTTCATACCGGGCTTTAACAACTTCTCATAATCACACTAACACGCTGCCATGTGCATAGATCTGTAATTACCACCTCTAGAGCTTCTCATTATATGATATTACACTAACATCCTTTCAGAAGCTCTATAACAGCTGATCTTAGTTTCTGTAGAAAGTTTAGAACTTCAATAGCTGTGAGTAGATTTAAAGGTTCTCTTCAGGGCATTAGTAATATTCTCCTGGAGTTTATTCCTACACAGCTTCCTCCTCTATCATATAAGAAACGGGAGAATAGCTGGAAAATTGCTCTCAAAATGTTTGAGTGCAGCAGTTATTCCGTATCAGGGCAGGTCATGTTGACACTCAAAGATGTTCCTTAACTTTCTGGTGTTTGATGCATTTTCCTATTTGGTACCTCTTAATGCTGAAATGCTATTGTAAATTATTGACTGTGTAATCTCAATTTGTAGTAACATCTAAAACCCCTTTAATATGACTACATGGAAAGTATTCAGTGATTCAGTGCTCTTTAGTCAGAGCAATGGAAAGATAGAGAGTTTCTGCAGACGCGTCCCCCGCTGAGCAGCCACCAGTTTTGGATGAATGGCCGTTTGGACAGAAGCTTGTTGTTTGAGCCTTTTCTCAAGTCATGCTGTTATTCTTCTGTAAACAATCCTGACCAGCCAATCAGGATAGAAGAAAGCAGTGTGGGTGACAAGGATAGTTTTGTGTTTGGATTGAGTTGAGTCACTGAATTGAACCGTAAAGAAAACATAACAAGCTTTTGCTCATGAAAATCTTTTATATTGAAGATATTTCTCTTTGTAAAGTTTGCTTTAATACATGGCATGACTATGTGTAAATTATCCCAAATATGACCCGAGTAATTTGGGTGGAGGTCTTCTGATCCTCATTCATGACAGCGCCGCTCTATCTCATGCTCTTACTGGCATTAACAACATCTCAGGGCTTCACATTCATAGCAATCATCCTCAACCATCGTCCTAACCCTTACAACCATGTGAGTGCTGATGACCAATCAGGTCGCAGTGTGTTCTTCGAGGCTTAACAGATAATACATCTTCAGAAAAAACACCTAATTTCACCCATAGTGTAAAACATCCTAGCACATGGCGTCCTAAATAAAGAAGATAACCGGTCAGACCCTACTGTACGTGTCCACACAGACCCTCTATTCGATCTGTTTTAAGTATAATAAATACATCTGAAGGAGCGGCGAATGTGTACTATATTGTCACCCACTGTCTGATTTCAACATATCTAAAATACGTGTGCTATATATTGTTAATCTTGTAAGTAAAATAGCGTGCCATGACATAGTATAAAGCTAAGATATGTACACGCTTACTTTGTTCAGAGATATGTTTGTTTTATTTATTTCTGTATGCCTAAACTGTAGCGTCAACATGATTATATGAAGAATCACAGTTCTGTATATATAGTCTCATCACTATGCTGTATTGTCTGTGAACCATTGTGTTGTAGTAAAACGTTCAATAAACTTGTAGAAAGGAGTTTGAATGCCATGGATGATTTATTTTAAAAGAGAGAAGTGTGGACTGAACGAAAAGAGGCTGCCATGGCTCCATCTAGTGGAGGTAAGGACATTTGAAAGGGTACAGATTCAAAGGTCACCTATGCAAAATCCACTTTTTCCTGTCTTTTACATAAGCATGTGTCCTCCCCTCTGCGTAAAGACATTCTGAAAGTTTCAGGAAGAAAGATTCTCTCTCGTTTTGTCCTGATCCATTTATATAAAAACCTGTCTGAAAATGAGCTGATCAGATTTTGGCCACTTTATGATGTCATAACGATTTTTTGGCTTGTGTAACCATTAGCCAATCACCAACCAAGGTAACCCCCCCACCTTATCACCTGAATCTCCTCCTAGAGCACCATTGTGTTCTTTTTAACCAAATATCTCTCAGAGGGGCGTGGGGAGGGGCTCCTTATTTATCTAAAGTAACAGACAGAGAATCAGCACTTTTGAAACAGGGCTGAAACAGAGGGGATTATGGGATGCTACAATGCACGATCTGTTAGGTGTTTCGAGCCAAACACTTCAGAGAGATGTTTTGTATATATCTGAGAGCTGTAATATATTGATGAAAAACAGTATAATAGGGAACCTTCACATTTATGAAGATCTAATTTTGTTGAATGACTACTCCTCTCTTAGTTTATTCAATAAATAACTGCCTTTAAGTCAACCTATATAGAACCAAAGTAATAATACTTCAGTCTTCCATCTTGCTTCAGAGTGAAAGATAACGCCTCAATTTAAAATACTTATACTTCAGTTGTTGGTGGCTGTTTTGTTTACCTTATGAACTGCAACACCCCTGAAAACTATGACTAACATAACATGTATGTTAGTCGCTCTCGGTTACTACACCCTCTGACCCAAACAGGAAACACATTTTTTCATGTCAAGAGAGGGGCCCTTGCTAGTTAGTCGTTAGTTGTTAATGATGGAGAAATCTAAATGAACTTAAGATCAGTGCACTACCAATATGGTATCTCATATACACCAAAACCAAGGTGATGATATTAAAAAGACTCTTTAGTCATTGTATCACTGCACTGTACTGTAATCCTCTGTGCTGGTTTACTTTATACACTTGGGAAATTACTCACACATTTTTCTATTATTCCAATAAACTATAAACTGTAACTTTTCAAATCAACCTTTTATCAAAATGTAACAATACGTTTGACAGGTCAAACATATTATTATTAAATGCATGAGGAGCAGTGGGAATCTGAATCTGAGACTGCTAACTAACCTTCACTGTGCTGCTGTATTACCATTAGGCTTACGTAATAGTCTATAATGGTTAATATTCTCTGTATGGACATTGTCATAGCACACATTTCTTAAATTCTGTTGAAATGAACATTTCATTCTGCAGAGGAACTTCCTTTGAGCCTCAAGTATTATCATAAGCTGCTCTTCATCTTTCCCACGAGAAAGGAAGCAGAGAGAGAGAGAGAGAGAGAGAGAGAGAGAGAGAGAGAGAGAGAGAGAGATCCCTACAAACTATTTCATTCATGCAAGATTATCAGACAGGGTTGGATCAGAGAATGTAGTTAACTTATCTGGAAACTTTTGGAAAAATACATTATTTTAAGATTATTGTAAAAACGTCAGGTCATGGAAGATCAATATTCAGATAAAAGAAATATACATCTTTAGTGAAGAAAACATATCAAGCTTAATTAGGCCTAAGGTACACATCTTAATTGTATAGTTTATCAAATGTCAAATGTTATTGATTAATCATTCCTTTAGCGGTGTCCAGTCTCAATACCGCAGAAATGCACTTTCCCCCGGTTTAGTCTCATTTTCTAAATTGCCACCCTCTCCAGGAGCGGCGCATTGATTTGCGCTCATTCGGCGCGCATTGATTTCCGTGGTAAGGTGGATCAGACGCCGAAGCCTCTGCGGCACCCGGAGGACACTGCTGCACCGGGAGGACGCTACTGCCGACCCGGACACCAGCAGGAGACAGGAGACCCTCCTCTCCTGCAGGTGGTCACATACCCTGCGTATTCCTGCGGTAACTCAACTCTGTCACAGTCCGGACATGAAGAGCGACACGCGAGGTAGGGAGCTCCCACATTCATTAAGTGTGTCAACGGAGTGCTAAACACGGATGGCATCTGAAGGTAAAGGGCACAACTAAATGTTAATTTTGGCTAAATCACAGACTAAACTAAATCTTAAATGATTTGCTTTGTGTTTGAAGTTGGCACTTTAGTGACTAATTGACTTGTCGCATGATGGTGTCAAGCTGAACCAGCACTGTTTGCACTTTGGAGACTCGCATAAATTATGATTTAATGGCTGATTTCATTTTAAAGTCACAGTTTAGAGGATTTATAATGTCTTTCATTGTCTTTTCCGTAGCCTCCATGAATAACTGTAGAATTACAGTGACAGGTTTTTGTAACATTGACAGAGCTGAATCAGCACACACCCGATTATAAATGCATGTACTGCAGTATGTTAGTACTGGATATGCCAGATCACTGAATATCAAGCAGAACAGTCATTTAGCTGAACTGCTGGAGAAACTCCTTGTGCCAATGCCAGAGTTTATTTTAATAATGGCTTATTTATGTCTTATTTTCCAACACTTCTTGGTACCCAAAGGATTGTGTTTCACCTCAATAGAGGAAAAGTTAATTCATGCAAATATCCTTTTTATCAGAAGCCAAAAAGAAGGTGATAATCATCCTCAAGTATTTGCTCTGCAGGCGGTCAAGTTACATAAACTTAAGACTGATGATGTGATGACACACACACACACACACACACACACACACACACACACACACACACACACACACACACACACACACACACACACTCTCTCTCTCTCACATAAGACATGTGCTCAAGTGTCAGTCATCTGAAGCAAAATTAGCGTGATTGACTCTGGCTGTTAGTTGATATTAATCATTGCATAATTTGTTTTTGTTTTTGGAGGGTTAAGTTACTAACTACTGTTATATCAAAACATTTGTAAGCTTTATGATTATTTAGATTGTTAAACATCTTTTTCTCCTGGTGGATACATAGTACATTAGCACTAATTATTTATTTTCACCTTATTCTTCAATTATGGCAAAACACTGCAGTTCAACATTCAATAAACAAACAGTGATTTTGGTTTTAAAAATTGCCACATTATTTAACTGGCAGTTTAACCAGTGTCAATATTCCACACTGATTTTATGTTTTCAATGAATAAAACAAAATATATATCTGAAATAACTAACAGAAGTTCAACATACACACATCTTGAGTATTATTTAGACCTTTTTAAGAATTTATTTGATTATCATTCTTTTAAAAATAAAATCAGTGTCAGTTTTGGCTTTGAAAATGTTTGGTGCAAATGACGAATTATTTTCAATACAATTGGCTAATAAAAAAGGTCCAAAAATAGAGGATCAGTAGTGTGTTTTTTAAGCTTAATGGTCCTCCTGTGTGACCTGAACGCCTCGGCGTCCGTGTTACAGCTGTTACTGTCTGTCTGGTGACTGCGTCTCCTCTGCAGGTTATAAATAAGAGGCTGGAGGTTTTGCGGGTGTGTGTGTTGTTTAACCAGCTGCTGGGGAGGTTTGTTTGTCTCCTCGGAGTGCAGGTGTACTCTCTGGCCTCTAGTTGTTGTTCTCGGGCCTGTTTTAATGCCCCCTCACCGGTCAGCACTCTGCTTTAATGTTTAAGGGTTTAAGTCTATTTGTGTTGGGTCAGCATCACCTGTCTATTATGTTAAGCTGTGTGACTAAGAAGCCTGAAATATGTTCCTGATATATCTCCAAAAATGTGTTTCCCTGTCCTATTTTAACAACATATAATACAATCAGTATGTGAATTTATACAAAGATGCACTTTGATGAATGATATACATTTGGTTGTATTTCCTGAGCTGCCAAGGCTTAACATTCATTACAATGACCTCCAAGTATGTTTGGTGGTTTGAGAGTCGTAGTTTTTCTGGAAGGCTAAATGAGAAAACTTACAGCAGAGAAAAGGTTTAGGAAACTATATATTGAGTTTGTATTCTATTTCTTATCTTCGAGTCTGTGTGTGTTTGTGTGTGTCTCTTCCTCTAGACAGAAAGGAGCATGGGAAAGTGGCCGAGACATTGGAGGTCAGACCACCAGCAGTGACAGTATATTAATACAACAAAAACTACCAAAGTATATTTAGTGCTTTAAAGGTTTAATAACAATAATCACTTTGGTGATCCTCTGACTTGATATCCAATCAACACAACGTTTACATGGTTTTAAGTAAAAGGTCTTAACAACTATTCCCCCAATTCCTGAAATTGTAATTTGCCCAAAATGTGGTTTATGACCAAATATGGAAATATTGATATTCCCATAATGCTGCTGTTTGTATATAGAGGTAATTATCAACATTTTAGTATGTCAACATCCCAACCTAAGATAGTAAACCTAAAACCAGTTATATTTATAGCTTCAACATTGTGAGGATGTTAGCATTTAGCTTTAGGTACCGCTCTGCATAAGTACAGTCTCTGAGAGCTGTTAGCGTAGAGTAGACTCTTGGTCTTTTTTATTCATAGAAACAACTTCTTCCTCCAGGCCTGCTGACTTGACATTCAGGACCTGGGCTGCATGTGAATCATATGGCAGTCATGGCATTAGATCCAGCCTAAGGAGCACACACTAAATGAGTCAAACATTAAAGGTCCATAAGACCTCGCCACCAGCCAGAACTGGGTCAAGGCTATGGACTGACTACTTTTCTTGGAGATTACAGTAGCTGGTCATTCATTTAGCATGTATTTGTATATATCAGTAAGAATGTTTGACTTGTACATTCTCTCTTATTTCTTTATTCTTTATTCTACAGTCAATCTACCAGCTTCCTGTCACACACAATTTTGTTTTGTCTAACCACTGTAGGCATCACATTTCAGACACAAACAAATACCTCTGTAAAGACAATACGCTTTAAAAAATCCAGCCAGCTTCACAGTTCCTTCAGAGTGAGCGCTCAGCTCCTGGTGATTTATGGCCATTTCGGGTCAGCTCCAGAGGAGGCTGACAGGGGTCAGGTAGTCAGTTGGACATCCAAAATAGACGTCTCTCCTTCACTCCCCCACTGGGTCCATTTGTCTCTCTCAAACCATGCTGTCTCTTGTAAAGTGTCGAACCACGCAGGGTCAGTCTGGTAAAAGACTTTGACTGATTGAGATTTTCTGTAGCTCACTGTTTTGCTCACACTGCATTCGAGTGGCGTACTGTTAGTGCCCAATGGATACTGAACTGAATGATATCATTTTGAAGTGCCTTTCTGCACCTCTGGAAAGTGCTTCAGCCTTCAGTACTGTAAGGTACTACATACAAAGGTTTTCCACCTGGTCGTTTATACTGTTGCTCAAAAAATCCACTTTAATGCAATAGCCTGAAGGTTGATGTGCTTTGATGGCACACTTATTTAAAATTGCAACACACAGTATGGAAAATGGAAGGAGGCTGTTGAGATCTTAGCTAAAATTGACTTGTAGTAAGAAAATTGAACTTTGTCCTTCACATAGCTGCATCTCGCGGTTGTTACTGGTACTGCATTTTACACAATAGACACATTGGAAGAAGGAGCTTTTGTGGTTTCTGCTTGAGTGAAAACCTTTGTGGAAGCAGCAGATAAAACACAGGGTTGTTTGCCAGTTTCTTATTGTCCACTCACCACTGATTAAGGACCATGAAACACATAAACAGTCAGGAATGAAAAGGTTTTTTTGGATCTAGTTGGAGCCAAATTCTTTTCACATCTTTTCTTTTCTTCAGATGGTTTGAAAATCCGTGCACCAGGTTACTAATTTGACCTTTCATCTTTACTTGTACGTTGTCATACCAAGGCAGTAATCCTTTAGCTAGGATGTTGTCAAATACTTTTGCTTAACAGTATACACCTTAAATCTACGGAATAAAATGATCATACAGCAGCTGTCCTGTCTCCCATACGACTTGGTTCAATCAGACTTTATTTGAAAATATGACCTGCCTAAACCCCCACTTAAGTATTGATGTTTGGTGAAAGTAGAATATCTCACTGGAATGCCAACTTTAATTCCTATTGATAGCAGCATAGAGAGGCAAAGACCTGAGTGATTACATTATTCCATAAAAATGTCAACTATCAAGAGCAATGCCTACTGTTAAAAATGTTAATCTAAAATTTAACAACTTTCTAAAATCTAGATCGGCTGTTTGTGTATCCTCTATAACAGGGGTGTCAAACTCAAATGCACAGTGGGCCAAAATTAAAAAATGGGTACTAGTCGAGGGCCGGACTGGTTCAATGTTTATTGCAAAACTTATTGAAATTAAGTTATTGCACATATTAAACCTAGAGCTAACGAAGCTTAAATTATTGCCTATAAAAACAACATTAAGCATTAAATAATCAGTTGCATTCATTTCTTATGGCTCTATCTGCAGCTTTTCCGGAGTCATTTGTTATGATTACATTTCTCCACAGGCCAACAACAGCTTCAAAAAAACAATTTCCCTCAAAGAACCAAATATGCCCTGTTGTCGCAAGAAAAAAAGTGAAGAAGGAAACATCCATGTAAACTCAGTCTGCTGCTCTGTGGTGCTAGTTCAAACCAGATACTTGGCATCTCATCTTGGGTGCAAGTTCATCAATGTTTGGGCTCAGACTCAGAGCTGAGGAAATCCTCAGGATTAAGTGAAGGTGTGCGTGCAATATACCGGTGGGCCAGATCTAATAGTAATTAGAAATAATCCTGCGGGCCGAAATTAAATCCACCAAGGGCCTGATTTGGCCCCCGGGCCTTGAGTTTGACACATGTGCTCTATAAGCTCCTGCTTCCTGTTTTCTTTACCACCAGGAACACACATGCATTTTAAAGACTCCATAAATACATTTAAGAAACACTGAAGCAACCAATTGCCCATGAAAATGTCAATCATCTGAACTTCCTGTGCGCCCCAACTTTGACTCCAACCCTCCTTGCCTGGTCACTGGAGGAAATGAATCCCCTGCTATATTAACAGAATGGTAATGAGGTGCTAGTTGCCTAAGCCTGAGCTCGGGACGATGCATGCTTGAAGTGCTGAGGATGCTAGAGGCAAAAATAGAAGGGCCAAGGCTCGAGGTGCGTTTGTTTCCATCATTGGCTGGGATTAGCAGCTTCTAAACACTCCGCTCCATTAAGGCTATTGTAACAAAGAACACCGACTCATGAAAACACACACCTTTTTAAATCCACTCTGACTCTGTCTATCATTGACAGCTCTGCTTCCATATACAGTAAAGCCGGTGTTACATTCGGAGCGCGGGCATGTTTTATTGGCTGTTTTTATAGGTCTGGGAGCTTCTAATGGGGAACAGATATTTACAGCAGGGATAAATAGAAAGATGACAGGGTACCGCGGATACAAACCAAATGCTTGCACATATTTTTCATTGTATGTTTTATCTCATGAGAGGTGTCAGATTATACAATTCAACATCCGGCCTGTCTAAGCTGCGTTGCTTTGCAGTACAGTGAGTGCTTAACATTTGTGACTCTCATACGGTTTTCCTCAACCCAGTGTTCCAGCCAGGTTGAAAGAGATTCTCTAAGTTTCTTGCCATTGGTAACATTATCATTACTTGACTGATAAATCTAGTGTTGTACTGTTTCCAACCAACTCGTGGAAACAGTGCAGCTAACATGCAACATATACTTTGAGAAATCTGAGTGAATTAAATGTCTGCGCAGCAACGACATGTGAATACACATAAACCAAATGCCCTTCATGTATAAGTCAGAGTCACAGTCAAGTGGTTGTCATCCTCAGCTTATGTGAACATTTGGTTTCAAAGTAACAAACACGCAGACTAACACACAAACACACACACACACACACACACTTTCATGGATTTATTTTTTGTTAAACATTTATTTTTAACCAGGAAAGCCATTTCTGTGCAGATTATAACTCACAATGACAACCTGACAAAGAAGCAAAGGAGGACGGGTAGAGATTTGGGATTAAGCAAACATGTCCTGTTTATAATATGCATGAGTGAAGAGAGGGGGGAGACACCATACT